ATTTCACAAATTTTAACACTTCCACATGATGCAAACTAGGAATAGAGGGAACTTTCTTAGCTCTGGTAACATAGTGAGCTACACATGGGCCTGCTAACCACAGTTCCTCAAGTGCCCACAAAGCCACAGGGACAGGTACGCTCTGTCCTCTAGGGCTGCTTTGAGTCAGAATCACTCAATGGCAGTGGATGGGTTCTTAACATGTGAATAATGGGCATTCACAAAAGACCAAAGTGAACATCATACTCAAGGGTAAAATTGTGAAAGCTTTCTTCCCAAAACAGGATCCAAAAGAATGCTTGCTTTTGCCACTGCTCTTAAACACTGTACTGTTTTTGTTAGCCAGATCAAGTGGGCAAGAAAAAGACACCAAATTGGCAAGTAGTAAGTAAAACTAACTCTATTTTCAGGTGACTGATTTGATAAATAGAACATTCTAAAGAACCCACACCAAAAACTTCTAGAGCTGATAAATAAATTCAACAAAGTTACTGGTACATGATCAACATGCAAAAACCTGTGAGCATGCATAAAGAAATTAGGAAACTGATTTGATTTACTATCACTCCCAAAATAAAATTATGTAGGAGTAAATTTGACCAAAGAGATGAATTTAGAAGCACTGAATGCTTTTTGCTATATCTAGTGCAAGAATGCAAACCATTCTCAGCAACCAGATTGCCAGCATTCCAGAGAATGTCCACATTTTCCCTGAAGGGGCGCAGTTATTGTGAAGGGCCCCAGAGGCACCCTGTGGAGGGACTTCAATCACATCCATGTAGAACTCAGTCCCTTGGAAAGACAAAGAAGAGGGGTCACGTTGACAAATGGTGGGGAAACAGAAAGGGACTGGTGACAGCCCACACTCTGTAGTCATGTACAGTGCATGATCAAGGGTGTGACACGAGGTTTCAGATACAAGAGAAGGTCTGGGTTTTCCCACTTCCCCATCAACATGGTTATTCAGAATGGGTCTCTTGTTGAAATCCTTAACTTCTTGGGTGAAAATTATATCTGGAGTGTCCATGTGAATGCAGGTGTTGTTTGTTCCATTTCTCAAGCCCAGAAAGATGAGTGAATTCTTGAAGGAAACGACTTTGGGCTTGTATCACATTCAGCTGCTTTAATTCAGTAAGCCACAATAGTTCAAAACAAGGATATCCAAACATTTTTGCATGGCATCTATGTTTCTGAAAAAGGAACAGATCAGCAGGCTGATGAGTAAGATCTGCGTGGTGCCCAACTACAGTCTAGATGATTTCTTTGGACTTGTCTGTGATGCTTTGATGCAATAAGGTGTAATGATGAAAAAATTAAGTGGGAAGACATTCCATATGTATGGATTGAAAGACAATATTGTTGGTAGTACTTCTCAAATCAAATCTATAGATTTACTACAATTCTTTTCAAAATTCTAATGGTCTCAGTTGCAGAAATAGGAAAATCAATCCTAAATTCACATAGGATTTCAAGGAATAACCAAAACAGTATTGGAAAGGAAAAACAAAGTTGGAGGACTCAATTTCACAATTTTTAAACTTAAAGCTATATGTCAAACTGTGATAATAGTATAAGTACAGACATATAGGATAAGATTGTGAGACCATAAATAAATCTAAATATCTGTGGCCAAATTAGTTTCAACAAGAATGCAAAGACCATATATTGTTGACCTTACTCACTACATCACACTGCCAAGCCTGGATAGGGGTGCCAACAAAAGAATGACTTCTATAGTGAAGTTTAATTGCTCAATATGATCTTTCATTCCATAGTCTTAGTAGCTCCTATTCAGTGAATAGGTGGGAAGCATGTGAATAAGGTAGGGAGGAATATTAGCTTAAGGATTTGTCAGTTATGTTAACCTGCTAGATATAAAAATGAGCCATCTCAGAAGCAGGGATAAGATCCTATGACCATCAGGACAGAAGAGTCACCAGTGAGTGGAGCATATTTAAGATTCCTGCCTGAAGTGGCACAAGCACCAGATGGCATGACACCGAGACCATGACACAAAGCAGAGGAGCCACACACTGAGACCGTGCAGCAGAGCAGCAGCCAGATTTTTTGACCTGCAAAAAAGAAGCCAAGGACCACAAGGGACATGCATGCCAGCATGGCTAAGAAGAGAACTCTGGCAAAAGACTGTATCCTTAACATTTTGTAATCTGTTTGCTCCCCTAAAAAAACCCATAATTGTGAGTATTACCTGTGAATTCTGCTTGACCATTGCAATAGATTATTGAATCCAACAAAAAGGGATGGTTGGTGTCAGAACAAGGCAAAAGAAATTGGAGGTTGGAGGCATTACTGGCCTCTGTCTTGTAGCATTCTCCCTTGGATTCTCCTTCTCTCTATGTAGCCAGAGATGTTCACAGATGACACCCATGCCATTTCTTACTTAAACACTGGCATTGATGGAGCAACAATTTACTGGGATAGAGTAGCAGAGCCTGATCCCCCATGTGTACTCTACTGTGCTTCAATTACGAGACTCCATTCCCTTCCTGCTGTTTACAGATAGATAAATGTTCTTGGTCAAGTGTCATGTGGCATCCATGCTTGAGAAGAACAGAAAAGCTACTAAGTACACAAAACAGAAAAGTAGACTCCCTGATAAGGAGAAGAAACTGGAAAAGAGAGAAAATCGGTCCTGGCCATATGTTCTCAGGAATAATTTGAGCCCTGGGCTTTGGATTGAGCAGTCCAGGGAGGGTAGGAAGGCTGTGGAATCAGGCCGTTTTCCCGTGTTCCCACACCACGCGAAACAGCATCACTTCAACTCATCATGCTTGAACACAACTTACTGAAGGATAGTCTCATGCAAAAGAAATAAGTTATACCTGTACCTCACTCCCTACTTTTGTCACTCAAAATTTTACTAAATATGGATAAATGACCTCAGTATAAGAGCTGAAACTATAAGACAGGAAAGATACTTCTAAAACTATTAAAAGAACACATAACTAAATCTTCATGACTTTGGACTTGGCAAAGGGTTCTTAGATATAAAATGAAAAGCACTAACAAAAAAATAATAAATTTAATTTTATAAACATTAAAAACTTTTGTGCATCAAGGAACATTCTCGCAAAAGTATTAAGAACCCACAGAATAGAAATGTTTGCAAATCATATCTAATAATGATTTAATACCTAGAAGATAGGAGTATAAAACTCAAAACAACAAAAAAGACAAACCCAATTTAAAAAATGGGCAAGGTACTTGAATGACATTTCTCTGAAAAATATAAATTTGTAGTAAATACATAAAAAAATAATTCAGCATCATTGGTCTTTAAGGAAAAGTAAATCAGAACTGCAATGTGATAGTACTTCAAGCCTTCGGGACGGCCATCCTCAAAAAGACTGAAAACAACAGGTGGTGGTAAAGATTTACAGAGCCTTTGCACTGTACTAATGAGAATGTAAAACAGCTCAGCACTGTAGAAAGCAGCGTGGGTTGTGTAGAAAATTGTTAAATGGAAATCTGATTTACTGTGTAAGCTTTTGCTGAAAACACCATCAAACACAGTGTAGAGCTTCCTTAAAATGAAGTTAAACTTACATCCACTCCTAGGTGGATACCAAAGAAAAATTAAAATGTTCACAATGAAACACAAATGTTTATAAGAACACTGTTTATAATATCCCAAAGGTTGAAAGAATATATGTTTTTTCTGATTGAAAAATTATGGTATATATATATTTCCATAGCATATTATTCAGCAATAAAAAGGAATGAAGTATTGGTGTATGCAGGTACTTGCATGAAATCTGACATCTAAAGCCAGCGGTTCTCAACTTGTGGGTTGAACATCCCTTTCACAGGGGTCACCCAATTCATAACAATGGCAAATTTACAGTTAAAAAGGAGCAATGAAAATGATTTTATGGTTGGAGGACACCACAACATGAAGAACTGTATTTAAGGGTCGCGGCTTTACGAAGGTTGAGAACCACTGTCTTAAGCGCAAGAATCCAGACACAAACAGTCACATATACCTACAGATTCTTTTTCTGTGAAACGTCCAGAATTTAAAATGTCAAAGAACAAAGATGTCACTTTGAGGACTGAGATGCACTTGACCCAAGTCATGGTACATTCAGTTGCCTTGTATCCTGGTGAAAGGTAGACAGTGAAAACGGAAGACTGCAAAAAATAAATAAGTAAATAGAAAGAAAACGGAAGACTGCGGAAAAATTGATGGTTTGAATTTTGGTGTTAGCAAAGAACATTTAAAGCACCATGGGATGCCACAAAAACAAGCAACCTGTCTTGGAAGAAGTACAGCCAGAATGTGCCTTAGAAGCGAGAATAGTAAGACTTTGTCTCATACTTTGGGTGTATACGCAGGAGAGAGCAGACCCTGAAAAAAGACATCATGCTTGCTGAAGTAGAAGGTCAGTGAAAGAGAAGGAGACCCGCAATGAGATGGACTGACACAGTGGTTTTAACAACGAGTTCAATTGTAGGCCTGATTGTAAAGATAGTGGGTATCCAAGCAGTGTTCAGTTCTGTTGTACAGATTTGGAGCCAACTCATTGCACGTTATAACAGGAGCAGAATAGAGGAAGGGGTAATGCAAAATGGTTACGTGGAAGGTAGAGGATGTGGAGTTCTAAGGTAAAACCAATTTGAAACGAACAAGTAGTTGCACAACATTTGAGTGAACTGAGTGTCACTTCATAGTACTGTACACTTTAAAATGCTTAGTTGTATTTTATCTGAAATTCACCTCAATAAAGTCTTCAGAGAGCAACTTTTTTGTTTTACTAGGGTGTAATTTATGTGTATCCTTGCTGTAGGCTTCTGGAGCCTTTGTAAAGCGAGAAAGGAACTGAGTAGACAGGTGGCTGAGAAGACAACATTTTCTCTAGGAAAGGAAAAATGCTTGCACTTGGAAAAGCCACACAGAGGATCTGATAATTGAGTTAACTTTCTTCCATTGCAGTTACTGTTTTAAAAATTGAAAATATGAGAGTAATGTTACAGAGCGGAGAGAGTGAGGAGGCTGTGTCTGGCTCCCGCTCTCACAGCCATTGCAGTACATTGAGCTCCATAGAGACAGCGCCGGGCCAGGCAGAGCCGGTCGGCACTGGGCGACTCTGTGCCTCCCGGATGAAATAAAAAGATAACAACATGGACAAAGGCGATCCTAAGAAGCCGAGAGGTAAAATGTCATCATATGCATTTTTTGTGCAAACTTGCCGGGAGGAACATAAGAAGAAGCTCCCAGATGCCTCTGTCAATTTCTCAGAGTTTTCGAAGACCATGTCTGCTAAAGAGAAGGGGAAATTTGAAGACATGGCTAAGGCGGACAAGGCCCGTGATGAGAGAGAAATGAAAACTTACATCCCTCCTAAAGGGGAAACAAAAAAGAAGTTCAAGGATCCCAAGGCACCCAAGAGGCCTCCTTCGGCCTTTTTCTTGTTCTGCTCTGAGTATACCCCCAAAATCAAAGGCGGGCACCCTGGCCTGTCCATCGGGGATGTTGCAAAGAAGTTGGGAGAAATGTGGAATGCCACTGTGGCCGATGACAAGCAGCCTGAGGAGAAGAAGGCCGCAAAGCTGAAGGAGAATATGAAAAGGATATCGCTGCATACTGGGTTAAAGGGAAGCCCGATGCTGCCAAAAAGGGAGTCGTCAAGGCCGAGAAAAGCAAGAAAACGAAGGAGGAAGAGGAGGACGAAGATGATGAGGAAGATGAAGAGGAGGAAGGTGATGATGATGAATAAGTTGGTTCTAACGCCGTTTTTTTTCCTTGTCTATAAAGCATTTAACCCCACTGTACATAACTCACTCCTTTTAATGAAAAAAAAATTGAAATGTAAGGCTGTGTAAGATTTGTTTTTAAACTGTACAGTGTCTTTTTTTGTATAGTGAACACACTACCGAACGTGTCTTTAGATAGCCCTGTCTTTTCAATAGCCACTGACCTTGCCTGGTACAGTATGGGGGTTGTAAATTGGCATGGAAATTTAAAGCAGGTCCTTGTTGGTGCACAGCACAAATTAGTTATATATGGGGATGGTAGTTTTTTTGTTTCGTTTTTTTTTCCTCTTCAGTTGTCTATGATGCAGCTTATACAAAATAATTGTTGTTCTGTTAACTGAATACCACTCTGTAATTGCAAAAACAAAAAA